GGTTTAATGGAATAAATCATAATGAAGCTTATAATTATTATTGTGACTTTCCACATTTAATCTTGGTAGAAAGATACATATTGCACCCGTTATGGGATAGCAGTTTTCATTTGAAATTTAGTGTGGAAAAGCTAGTAAAAATGAAACCAAAACTATAGAATATAAACCTAAACACAAAGACTGGCAATCTCATGTTGGGACCAGGCAGTTTACTTAGCTCTTATTAACCGAGCAGGAGGTCTGTATGGGAGAATCTTGACCGAGGTCGGGAGTACAGACCGAATGCAGTGAGGTCTGTGCACACAACCGACGTCAAGATTCTCACATACAGACCGACTAAGCTCGGCTAATAAGATGTTTATTATATGGCAAACAAGAAAAAATTAATTTGTTTAATGTAACTGGTTTGTACAAGCTGGCATTTTGCTTGCGAATGGTGTTGAGCTGAACTTAATTAATTCTGCTAAGGTTTATTCGTCCCCTTTACTTTTTTCCTCATTAGGCTTGGCACTTCCATAATATGAATATTTTCTGGGACTAATATTTTGGAAGAAAATAGTCAATATATTTGTATTTAGTTTGCAACTTTTTCACAGCAAAATGCAATCGGTCGAGATACCAGTCTAGATGGGAAAATCTAGACAGCGGTCAATATCGATTTCAGCTAATCAAATTTGTGAATTCGGTAGTTCCCAGTCCTTGTGAGACACAGCCATATAATAATAGATATTATTATACATTGAACTCACTGTCTCTTTTCTGATTGGCCTAAAGCGTACAGAGAATTTTCGAAATGAGCGCTTGTGACGTCATTTCTGCAGATTATACAATAATCATGTCAAGGACACTCAAGATCACGGGTAATCATATCAAGTTCATGCACTTTGTGTTGCCTGCTGTCAGTGAAAAAGCAAAACCATGACTTCCATTTTTTTTCGTTCAATGTATAATAAAACAATCATTAGATTTGGTTTTTGTGATATCCAGAATAATCAAGGTCTCAGTAAGGGTTATCAGCCTCAGCCTTCATCTTCGGCTGATAATCCCTACCTCGACCTTGATTATTCTGGGTATCACAAAAACCTCATCCAATAATTGTTTATAATCCTACATACAACACTATTATTACAATCATGGAAACTTACAATAGATCCAATAGTAACGGAGTAGAGTCCTACATACAATACTATATAATTTACAGTCATCGAAAACAAGATACTATACCAACGACAAGGTACGTACAGTGGATCAAAACTGCCTGTGCAGTGGGTGGGCGGGAAGCTAAAAGTTACTAAACTTAATAGACCATTTTACAGTTGTCTGTTCAGTG